CCTGGCGTTGTGGGACTGAGCCCTGCATTAGGCTCTGTGCTAAGATGGAGCCTCCTTAGAATTCTCTCTCCCTCTCTCTTTCTCTCCCTCTACCCCTCTCCCCAGCTTGCACTCTTTCTCTCTAAAAAAAAAAAAAAAAAAAAAAAAAAAAAAAAAAAAAAGTAATAATTATATACACATGTTAACATAAATTCTTAATATGAAAATAATTATACTTAAAGCAACAAAAACTTAGAACAGTAGCACTGTTACATGGTTTTGCAAATTTCTGAATTCTTCTGCCTTTATGAGAAGACAGCTGGACTCTTCTATCTATTCCCACATTCAATCTGTTGCAGTATGTTGTTTTGGTAGAAGTATATGAAGAAAACATGGCTTATGTGGCTACTGTCTTTTCAAATAATTGTGGATATACTTTTTTGATACTATATCAAAACTTGACAAGTGGTCAATTTTTTTAAAAAAATTTTATTATGTTTATTTATTTTGAGAGAGAAGGAGAGAAAAAGAGAGACAAAGTGAGAGCAGGGGAGGGGCAGAGACAGAGGGAGACACAGAATCCAAAGTAGGCTCCAGGCTCCGAGCTATCAGCACAGAGCCCAATGCGGGGCTCCAATCCACAAGCCATGAGATCATGACCTGAGCCAAGGTCAGACGCTTAACCGACTGAGCCACCCAGGCGCCCCAGCAAGTGGTCCTGTCTTAAAAGTTAACTACAATGTGGAATATAAAAGCATGATACCATAATGATGAACATCTTTCATAATCTATAGCATTAAAATCCATCGGTCTACCCTGTACTCTGAATGTGTCTTTCACATATGCATGATTTGGTACCATCATGCATTGGTCATTTAGAAAACATTGGTTTGATGACTTACACATATCATCCAAATATTGACACAGTTCCTTATATAATAAAAAGTCTTACTTTTATATCTGATTTTTATCAAAAACAGTCTTTGGATTCAAATTTTCCAAAATTCTAATTTTTGCTGGAAAACTTGAATTTGACCGCTGGCAAAAAATAATGTCCATTATTTTACTTACAGTAACAGGTTTTCCAAAAGTATGTCTCCTAAATAACCAAGTCTGAATATAGCCACAGTTTGCTTCTGCAGTTAGTTCAGCTACCCTTGTCATGCAGCAAGAGTGCTTTATACATACTTCCCATTTTGTCCCACAGAATGTTAAAAAGGCTTAATAAGATTGAAAACTTTTACTGCTTCACTAAAGACATTCTTAAGTGAAGTTGGTAATTAAAAAAAAATTTTTTTAATGTTTATTTATTTTTGAGAGACAGAGTGTCAGTAGGGGAGGGGCAGAGAGACACAGAGAGAAAGACACAGAGAGAAAGACACAGAATCTGAAGATGCTCCAGGCTCTGAGCTGTCAGCACAGAGCCCGACATGGGGCTCGAACTCACAAGCCGTGAGATCATGACCTGCGCCGAAGTCGGATGCTTAACTGACTGAGCCACCTAGGTGCCCTGGTAATTTTTTTTAAATGCAAGTACATAATGGTCTAGAATATGACTACTCCTACAGCTTGGGACAACCACCTCGATTCCTGCTAAGACACCAGCAGTTTTATTTACCTATTCTTGTGCACCATCAGTGCAAACGACACAACAATGAAAAATGCAAACAATTCAAATGTCTTCTCTAACATTTCAAAGTTTTACCTTGTAGACTCCCTGGAATATTCCTGGGGACCTCTAGGGCCTCCAAGCCACACTTTGAAAAACACTGGTGTAGACAAATTTACCCAACATTTAGTGAAGGCATTCTTACTAAATTCTAGAGAATATAAAAAACAAATAAGGTAGTCACTGCTCTGGGGAAAAGCACCACTGATTTAGTTTGGAAGCCCAACTAGACTCTTTAATAAATACCTAGAACAGCAAGCGTGTGCCCCTCTTTCTTTAGGACCCTCTAATACCAAACCTACCGGAATAGTTACGGATAACATAAATCCTAGGGTCATTCTAGGCCAAATCTCTATTTCTTGGCAGCTCCAGAAATGTTCTGCTTCCCGTAGATCCTCATTTATGTTACATTCTACTCGTTATACAAACCTTTTTATCACGATAAAAATTATACCTAATAATGTTTATACTATCTGGCACAAAAATGGACTATCTCTACATCCTTGTATCCCTGTTTGTATTCCTAGGGCAAAAGAACAAAGATCTGAGTGAATAAAGTAAGGTCCTTGAGGATGGAGACACTCTTAGCCATATCTGTGTGCTCAGAGATTAGCCCAGGATTTGGCAAGCAAAAGGTTCTCAATAAATGTTTATTGAACGGCAAGGAGTGCCATGAGTTACACCAAAAGTCAGATTTGGAGTTGGGAAGGTGTTAATATAATCATTACGCATTTGTGCTCCACATCCACTCTCTCCTTTGTCCCACCCAAGGAGTACAGAATAACACATTTGTTACTTCTAGTGGATATCACTGTAGTAAAACAAACCAGGGGGAAACGTGTGGAATAGAAAAAAAAGTTAATTATCAATATTTCAAAATTAGTGCACTTTAATTATTTTGAGACAGTTATAATGAAAGACTAAAATGTCAAACTGAAATACTATTTGGTTAGGCCAATGAAAAAAGACCTTTCAAAATAATGCAAAATCCTTACACATTTAAACATTAATCATTTAATTAAACATTAAAACATTTACCAAAAAACTTATTTCCTTGCATTCCTAAATATATTATAAAAACTACTGATTTTTAAATTTATTTTTAATTATTTTATTTTAGAGATAGAGAAAAAATCTCAAGCAGGATCCATGCTCTGCATGGAGCCCAATATGGGGCTCAATCCCATGACCCTGGCATCATGACCTGAGCCGAAATCAAGAGAGGCTCAACTGACTGTGCCACCTAGGTGCCGCCCCCCCCCAATACTGATTTTTTTTAAAAAGTCTTATTTCAGAGTTCATCTTATCACAGACTTCAAACAAGTGAGGAATCAGTAAAACTAAATCTTCCTTAAGGCTTGCAAGTAAAGGGAAAAATAAATTAGAGAAGATTCTAAAAGTTTAAAAAGGGAAGACAAAACTCCTCCACTTTAGAGGGGATTCCAAGGGAAAGAGTCTCTGAAATAGATGTGAAAGAGAAGTTTGCATTCAGACAAGTACTGGAGAGATCTCCAGTAAAGTACTTCAGTAGAGGCCAGTAAGACTGTATAAAATAGCAATGTTATTGTAACATTGTATGTGTTGGCCAATACCATAGGGACCACTGAAGCTGAGATGGCTCTTTACAGTTGTCCAAATTAAGGCAAGGCGGCTAGGCCCTTGTACCCCCACATCTCTACCACTGATCATTAGGTGCAGGCTATCCTCTAGGGGTATAACCAGGGACAAGGCAACTGTCATTGGCAGAGGCAATTCCTGGGAAGACTCAGCTATGAGCCCTCAGCAAGCAATACTCTTGGAATGAGGGCTTTAGTTCCAAAGGGAGTAAATGGACTACGCACCACAGCATCCACTATATCCTCCTTATTACTATTCTATTTTTTTTTTTCAATCAAAAGGTCTCACACATTTATAACTGAACCAACCTATGGGATAGAAGCATAGTAACAGAGAAAAATCATTTCCCTGATAAAACATCTGCTGTTCAGGTAGTAGGGAGGTTTACAGAAGGATGGGACAGAACACATGACCTTCAGGCAGCATAAATATGTGTGCCATCTCACGTGCGATCCCTTACAGACCCAGCTTGGTTCTTCTCCAATGCCACCGTTTGGAGTTGTACCTGATTTTATTACCAGTTTTCATGTGAATCCACAGGCGGATGGGACAATTCTGCTTTTATTTCTTGGCAAGGAATTGCCTGGTCCTGAAAGTCTTGTGAGAAGACCTGGTGAGGAATGGTCAGCTGCACCATGATGGTGGAAAAAAGGAGAGAGCTCCTTATTACTAAGGTAGTACCTATTCTATTTTTTTTTTTTAAGTATTTTATTTATTTTTGAGAGAGACAGAGAGCATGAGCAGGGCGGAGGGCAGAGAGAAAGGGGAACAGAGGATCTGAAGTGGGATCTGTGCTGACAGCAGACAGCCCAATGCAGAGCTGGAACTCACAAACTGCAAGATCATGACCTAAGCTGAAGTCAGACTTGCTTCACAGATTGAGCCACCCAGGTGCCCGAAAATAGTATCTATTTTAAAAGAACTTGAAATGTCTTGTTTAGGGGATATCTGGCTACTTTATGCATAAATTTACAGAAATTCACTGGTCTCTACTAAGAGAAACTGTTTCTTTCATAGTCCCCAATTAAGGGGTGCCCAGTAATTGAAACAAAGAAGAGCCCCTGACACAGGCTGGCTGATCCACAGGTCACAAGCTAAGAGAAGGGCCGGTTAGAAAAGTATTGCCCAATAGAGGAAAGAGAAATGTCCTGAGCTAATCAGACTCTTTCTGAAGGGTAAATAAGGGATGCTGAGAGAATTAGTCAATGGGGGTACTGGAAGACAAATGAGTGGAAAAGCAAAGCAAAGAGGAGAATTATGCAGATGACAGGTCACAGCTTAAACATTCCCAAACTCTAGCTCACAAGTGTTAATCAAGTTTGTCAAAGTTTATTGACAATGTTATCTGTGTCCAGTTCTTCCTTTCTGAAGTATGACCTTATGAAAATCTTCTGTTCTTAGATTCTTTTTTTTTTATTTAAAAAAATTTTTTTTCAACGTTTTTATTTATTTTTGGGACAGAGAGAGACAGAGCATGAACGGGGGAGGGGCAGAGAGAGAGGGAGACACAGAATCGGAAACAGGCTCCAGGCTCCGAGCCATCAGCCCAGAGCCTGACGCGGGGCTCGAACTCACGGACCGCGAGATCATGACCTGGCTGAAGTCGGACGCTTAACCGACTGCGCCACCCAGGCACCCCAGATTCTTTTTTTAAAATTGTGGTGGATTCTGTGCAGGAGGGAGCATGAGAGCAGCATGGTCAAGCCTCTAGTGTCCGAGTCAGCTAGGTGTGAGCATGGCTGAGCAGGAACCCATAGCTCAGTGGCTAGCACAGACTGCGGCTGAAAATGAGGAGGATGAACACGTGGTCAACCATAAGCCCCCCCCACCCAGAAGGGCATCCAGGAGATCCAGGAGCTGGACAAGGATGACGAGAGTCTGCGCAAGTACAAGGAGGCCCTGTTGGGCCACGTAGCTGTGTCTGCTGACCCCAAAATCCCCAGTGTTGCTGTGACCCGCCTGATCCTGGTGTGCAGTACAGCCCTGGGTCTTCTGGAGCTGGGCCTGAGAAGTGATCTGGAGAGCTTCAAGAAGCAGTCCTTTGTGCCGAAGGAGGGGATGGAATACCGGATGTGAACTGGGAGACTGTGTCCGGCATGAAATACATCCAGCACACGTACAGGAAAGGCGTCAAGACTGACAACATTGACCACCTGGTACCTGATGGAAAGCTATGGTCCCCAGGCAGAGGAGTATGAGCTTCTGGCCTCCATGGAGGAGGCGCCCAAGGGTATGCTGGCTCATGACAGCTACAACATCAAGTCTCGCTTCACAGACGACAATAAGACTGACCACCTGTCTTGGGAGTGGAACCTTACCATCAAAAAGGAATGGAAGTCTCCTTGGTGGTCTCGCCTTGCTGCTTCTGCCTGTACTGGGGGGTAGAGGAGAGAGGGAGCCTCCAGCCCAGGTCTCCACCTTCCCTTCCATACCTTCAGGTTCCCCTACCTGTCCTAGCCTGATCTGAGGTCCCGGCATTTCCAAGGGAATCTCATGGGGTGCTCAGATCCTTGTGGGCCTTTGCAGTTGCCCTGAATCCTGTTCTTTCTCTTCTTCCAGGATGGGAATGGGGTGGGGTGCATAACTGGAGGCTTCCTGGGGGCCAGCCACCTTCCAGCTTTCACCTGTGTCCAGTTAATTAATCCAACACTGTTAGTAACCATCTAACCATGATGCCTTAACATGTAGAACATGTGCTGTGGGGGCCGTCACTAACCTCTAACCTCCTACGTCTGCATGAGCACATGATCTCCCCCCGTCTCAGCCCCATCGGCAACTCCTGAGGCCCTGGGGAAGTGTGGGGGATGTGCTGCTGCTGCTCTCCTGCCTACCGGGGATTAGCCAGCCCCCTCCCTGAGCCAGGGCTGTGGGGATGGCTCCAGGGGCTTGGGGAAAGCCAAACTGCCAAAACTGAAGTAGTCTCCATTCTAACCTAGGAGGCCAGGTGTCCTGACGCCCCTGCTTTCTCTGTCCCAGCGGGCAGTGCCGGAGCCCACGGTCCCAGCAGACAGCCCCCTCTGGACAAGGTCAGTGGCCGAGCCTTACTTATCCCACCTGGGCCTGCCAGCCTGGAGTCGTGTGCCTGGCCTGTCAGTGTCTCCATATGTGCCATTCTCTGGGCCCCCTGGCCTGCCACCTCTGCCCCCAGGCTTGGTGCCACCATCCCTGACATGCCCTCTCCGGATCCAGCCAGGACAACTGTGGGACCAAGTGGACACAGTGGGAGCCCACCCCTGTGCCTCCCCCTCCCCTTACCTCCCCTGTCAGGCCTGAGCCTAGAATGCCCAAGAACCTGACCCTGCTTCTTTTCTAACCGGGAAATAAACTCCCCCAAAGGAAAATAAATAAATACACACATACATACATATATAAATAGATACATAGATAGACAGAATTTGTGATAAAAACACATACCATAAAATTTACCATCTTAACCATTTCTAAGTGTATAGTTCAGTACTATTAAATGTATTCACACTGTTGAACAACCAATCTCCAGAACTTCTTCATCTTACAAAACTGAAACTCTACACACATTAAACAACAACTCTCCATTCCCCTCTCCCCCAAGCCCTTGGCAAGTATCATCCTACTTTCTGTTTCTGTGAATGTGACTACTCTGGATACCTCGTATCAATGAAATCATATAGTATTTGACTTTGTGACTGGCCTATTTCATTTAGCACAATGTCAAGATTCATCTAGATTGTAACATGCACCAGAATTTTTCCTTTTTAAAGATGAATATCCCATTGTATGTATACACCACATTTTATTTATCCATTCATTCAACAATGGACGCTTAGGTTGCTTCTACCTCTTGGCTATTGTGAATATTGAGTCTATAAACACGGGTATGTAGGTATCTCTTCAAGGTTCTGTTTTCAATTCTTTTGGAAATATACCCAGAAGTGGGATTACTAGATCATATGGTAATTCTATGTTTAAATTCTGGAAGAAACAGCATACTGTTTTCCATAATAGTTGTGTCATTTTATATTCCCGCCAACGGTACACAAAAGTTCCAATTACTTCATATACTCACCAGCACTATTTACCAGTTTTTTGGTTGTAACTATCCTAATAACTAAGAGGCAACACCTCATTGTGGTTTTGACTTACATTTCTCTGATTAGTGCTATCAAGCACCTTTTCACATGCTTGTTGGCCATGTGCATATCATGTTTGGAGAAATGTCTATTTAAGTCCTTTGCTCAGTTTTTTAATCGGGGTGTGTTTTTATTTTGAGTTACAGGAGTTCTTTCTATATTCTGGTATTAACTACATCAGATATATGGTTTGCCAATATTTTCTCCCATTCCATAGGCTGCCTTTCCACTCTGTTCATTGTATCCTTTGATGCATAGAAATTTCCAGTTTTGATGTAGTCAATCTGTCTATTTTTACTTTTGTTTCCAGTGCTTCTGGTACCATATTCAGGAAAAATTTGCCAAATCCAATGTCACGAAGGTTTTCTTTTTAAGAGTTATATGGTTTTAGGTCTTACATTTAGATCTTTGATCCATTTTGAGCTACTCTGTGTATAAGTGTCCAACTTCATTCTTTTGCATGTGGATAATCCAGTTTTCCCAGCATCATCTCTTGAAAAGACATTCCTTTTTCCACTGGCATCCTGAATGTTCTTGTCATCTTGGATTCTTTTGAGATTCCTATTTTCCTCACTACTACTACATTCTTACAATACACCTGGATTATTTGTGGCTGCTGGAGTTAACTGTCTGCTTCTTGCAAATAAGAGACACTAGGTTCTTTGGTTTCTAATCCAATCTTCATGACTAAGATCTAGCTATCTAAATAGTCATCACTTTTTCAAGCTGTAAGAAAGTTCTTACTCCTCTTCCTCCTAGAAACAGCTGGTGATTCAACAAGTATTTACTATCTTCTAGGCAATGTGCAAGGGATAAAATAAAAATAGAAATAAGGTCTTGGGCTTACAGAAATTTAAAGTGTATTGTATATTTAGGAAATAATTATAATACAATGTGGTGAACACCAGAAGGAAGCACTTAACAATGTGGTGAACACCAAGAGGGAATGAGAAGTGGTATCTAAGCTGGATCTTGTGGGGTAACAGAGGGGGACACAGTAAAGAAAAGATTCTAACTAGACGGAATAATAGGAGCATAGTGGAAAAGAAGTAGGTATAGTCTAGAAACTGCAAGTAAAGCAAATTGGTTAGAATGGTGATTACTCATTCATATACTCATGGGTTCAACTAACTTATTGAGCTCTCTAATGTGCCAGGTACAATTTCAAACAGGACACGGGACACAGGACAGAAATGGTGAACAAAACAGACAAGACTCTCCACCCTCATAAACCTTACATTCTAGTTAGGGGAAAAAACAAATAAATATATATGTCATACAGTTGTAAGTGCTAATGGGCATGTATATGTGCACATATATTAGGGAAAACTTCAGAAGTTTTAATATTTTTGTTAAGACCTGAATAAAGTGAGGAAGAAAGCCATACAATTATTTCGGAGTAAAGCATTCCAGACAGAGGGAGTAGTAAATACAAAGACGAGACAGTGAGAAGCAGCTGAGCTTTTCAAGCAAAGACAAGAAGGCCGCGTGGCTTGAGGGAGGGCAAGGGAAGAAGAGCAGGAAATGTCAAGAGGCAGCCAGTGGCAAGAACATGTGTGGCTTTAGAGACCATCATAAGAGCTTTGGATTTTATTTTCAGTGAAATAAGAAGCCACTTTAGGGTTCTGAACATAAGAATGAAATGATCTGACTTGTGTTTTAAAAGGATCACGCTTTTCCTGCTGTGTTGAATTAAACCAAAAGTGAGCAAAGGCAGAAGCAAAGAGAACAATCAGGAGACTAACAGAATAATCTAAGCAAGAGACGATGGTGACCTACAAAGTCAATGCAGCTTTATTAATACCTGACTAAAACAGATATGAAGAAAGCCTTCTCTTCGTTACCAGAGCTAAGAGGGACATCTCATAATGATAAAAGGATCAGTTCATCAGGGATATATAACAATCAGAAATGTGTACGTTGAACAGAGCTTCAAAGTAAATGAAACAAACACTGACAGAATTAAAGGGAGAAACACACAAGTCCATAATCACAATTAGAGATTTTACCACTACTCTCATAGCAATTAAAAGAACTAGACAAAGAAAATTTGCATAGACACAGAAGATCTGAACACTATCAGCCACCTTGTCTACTATTTATAGTAGACTCAGTAATGGCAGGATATACATTATTTTCACATGAACATGACATGTTTAGCAAAACAGATCATATTTGGGGGCACAAACAAGCCTCAATAAATTAAATTTTAAAATACTAAAACCATACAGAGTATGTACTCTGAACACAGGGGAATTAATTTACAATCAATCATAGTAAGATATCCATGAACTGCCCCCTCGCCAAAATTCGGAAATTAAATAACACATCTAAGTAATTAATGGGACAAAGAAGAAATTATGAAAGAAAATATATTGAACTGAAATGATAAGAAAAACAACAATGTTCGTGTGATGCTCCTAAATCAATGCTTAGAGAGCAATTATAGCTTTACATGCTTACATTTGAATAGAAGATCTTAAACCAATGATCTAAGGTTGTACCTTAAGAAAATAAAAAAAGGAGAGAATTAAATTCAAAGCAAGCAATAGGAAGGAAATAATAATAAACATCAAAAATCAAGGAGGGGTGCCTGGGTGGCTCAGTCGGTTGAGCATAGGACTTCGGCTCAGGTCATGATCTCACAATTTGTGGGTTCAAGCCCCACTCTGGGCTTTGCACGGTCAGCACGGAGCCTGCTTCAGATCTTCTGTCTCCCTCTTTCTCTGGGCCCCTCCCCCACTCATGCTCACTTTCTCTCTCAAAAATAAACATTAAAAAATTTTTTAAGAAAATCAAGGAAATAGTACAAAAACTGTCCTGTACATTTAAAAAGCTTAAGCTCATAAGAAACAAAAACAGATGAATGCTGTACATAAGAAGAGTCTTAAATGACAGCTAAGTATGATGTACAATATGGATTGGTTCAAAAACAAGGGAAAAAACAGCTGTAGAGCATGTTATCAGAACAACTGTGGATTAAACAATAGCACCGTATCTATTTTTTAATTACATTTTCTAATTTTGATAAATATATTGAGGTTATATAAGAGAAAGTTGTTCTTAGGAAGAAAGGCACATGACGTCTGCAAATCACTCTCAAATGGTTCAAAAAAGAAGTTGTATATACCAAGAGAAAAAATGTTAAATTAAATGGGACAAAACAATAGTTAGTGAATCGGGTAAAGAGTTTAAGTTTTCAGTATGAAATCTTATCAAAATTAGAATTTTTTTAGTGTTTACTTATTTAGTTTGAGAGACAGATTGATAGTGCATGTGTGCACATGAGTTGGAGAGGGGCAGAAAGAAGAGAGAATCTACACTGACAGTGTGAAGTCTGACATGGGGCTCGATCTTACAAGAGCCATGAGATCACAAGATGATGAGATCATGACCTGAGTCAAAATTAAGAATCTGACACTTAAAAGACTGAGCCACCCAGGCACACCAAAATTAGAAGTTTTTAAAATAATAATAATAATGAGGCTAGAAAAGTATGCAGCAGCCTATCATGATGGGCTTCATAATGCCAGACAGCTTGGACTTCATCTTGAAAGGGATAAGGAAAAAGTAGCAGGAGAGCCTGATCAATTATTGTTGATCTAGTGGGAGGTTAGACTGAAGGGAAAGTAGGAAAGACTGCACACAGAAAACTATTTAAGACACTATTTCACAGTTCTACTAAGAAATAATAATGATCTAAATTAAGGTTATGGGAATGGAAAAAAGTAGATTCAAGAGTTATTTAAAAGTCAGAAGAGACTTACAGAGTGATGAGATTGCTGAAAATAAGAAAGGAAGAAACATCTAGGATGACCTATGCCTCCTCCTGACCCATACCCAATTTGTGGCTTAGACAGTTAGAAAGACCACCATGTCACTCAACAAAGTGGGAAAAGTGGAGGTTTATTTGCCTTTGGGAAGGTCAGAAAATGAGTTCTGTTGTAGATGTTCTGAATTTAAGATGTTTGTGGGGTATCCAAGTCCACTAGTACATTAGAAATTTCAAAATCAGGTCTAGAGTCTCAGAATGAAGACATAAATCTGGGAGTTATCAATCCAGGGATGTAGATGTAGATGTAGATGGCATGAATTGATAAGAGTGACAAGAGAAACTGAAGAGGAGCATCCAATGGAACATTAAAAGGCAAAGAACACTGCAAAAGAGATGGGGGAGGAGGGACAAACAGTTAATGATACAGACACAGCAGATAAAATTATAGCAGTAAAACCATGTGTTGTTTTAGTTTATAACAAATGTTCTGAAAATGAAAAGTATGATAAACTAATACCACTTTACGCCATAAATGAGGTTAATAGGAATAGTCATTTGCCAAAAAACAAAATAAATATCCCAGCTATTATCTATTCACTTACCCACAAAGAATGACCTACTTTTAGAAACATCATTTACAAAACATTAATTATAGAAGTGAAAATTAATAGCCAATACATAAATTGGCAGGGGCTCAACACCAAAAACTCCATGCCATCTTCCAGGACAAAATCCGTTCACAGTACTTCACTCATGCTTTAAACTGAAACTGAATTTGAATTTAAATTTAAATTAAACTTGAATTTGAATTTAAATTAAACACTCAAAATAATTATACAAAAGGCTTTGAGGATTACGTCCTTTAGAAATAAAGTTAGAACCTCTTCTAAGATCCATGTCATTTTTTTTTTTTTCAACGTTTATTTATTTTTGGGACAGAGAGAGACAGAGCATGAACGGGGGAGGGGCAGAGAGAGAGGGAGACACAGAATCGGAAACAGGCTCCAGGCTCTGAGCCATCAGCCCAGAGCCTGACGCGGGGCTCGAACTCACAGACCGTGAGATCGTGACCTGGCTGAAGTCGGACGCTTAACTGACTGCGCCACCCAGGCGCCCCAAAGATCCATGTCATTTAAGGTTTGCGAAGGTCTTGAGTGTTTGTATCCACCACTCCCCAAATTCACATGTTAAAATCCTATTACCCAATGTGATATTAGGAGGTGAGTCCTTTAGAAGGTCCTTTGAAAGGATGGATGGAATTAGTGTTCTTAGAGGCCCGAGAGAGCTCCCTAGAAGAGGGCTTTCACCAGAACCCAACTTTGCTGGCACCTGATCTTGAACTTCCAATCTCCAGAATTGTGAAAAATAAATTTCCGTTGTTTAAAAGCCACCTAGTCTATTCTGTTATAGCAGCCAGAATGGACTAAGACAAGGTCCTCCACAATAGGGTCCAATCAACTTTTCAGGCTTTATTTCTCTTAACTTTTACCCTTCTAAAGAGCCTCTACCAATAAATCTACCTGCCATTTCTGTAATGAAATCTGCAAACATTTGCTCAAATGGTTTCCAATGTTTAAAATGTTCTTTCATCTTCAAATCTAGTAAAATCCTGCCCATAATTTAAGGCTCAGCTCAAATGTTACCTCTTTAAAAACATATTCCAAAGCATCAGAAAAACAGCATGATATAATGAGAAGGGTAAGGACTTTGAAATGAGAGACTTAAGTTAAAATACCATATCTACAATATAGTTGTTTTGTGATCTTTGTTAATCTTATATTTCTCATGTATAAAATTAAGAAAATATATACATCTTAAATAATACTTAAGGGAAGATATATTCAAACAACTGATAAAGAGTACCTACCCCACAGTAGGCATTAACTGAATAAAAGAAAGATGCTTCCAATACTGTGCCTTGTGAATGTTTAACAACCAGTTCTCCAAATTAAAAATAATTTTTTAAAAGCCCTAATTTGTGATGTTTGTCCACTTCCATGATGCTACCTTAAAAATAAAAGATCCAGTTACTCTACCAGCAAAATGAATTTATTCAGGAATAGTAGAGAACTGCAATTCAGGACATGTAAGCTACAAGCAAAACCATAGCTAAAATATGGGCAAGTCCAGACAACAAAGAAGAGGAACATTCTTTTATTGAAAAAAGGGGGGGGGGGGAGTTAGGAGGGGCTGTTATAAACAAAAAGTCTACTGAAATAAACTGGGGGTCTTAGTGGCTTTTCATTGGCTGAGTTGTGACAGTCTCTCATTGGCTGGACTGTTGCTGGGCAACAAGAAAAATCTTGTTGGGTAGTGAAATCTTGGGGTAGTGAAGCATAGGTTGTTCTTATCAGGAAGGTACTCTCTCCCTGTTGGGGTCTACAACTGATGATGAATGGTAGGGCATGAGAGCTCCCCCTTCTGGCCTCTACCTCCATTTTATTGAGGCTTCTCTGCATTAATTTTCAGGATGTCAATGCTCTCACTATGGCCAAATTTCAAGCTTCCAACACGACCTCACTGATTCCAGAGATGGGATGAGATGTGCAGTAGCACATCATTATATAGTATTTCTACCAGAGAAATACCACAGACACAAATAACCTCAAGAGTACAGATAATAGTAAAATATTTAGGAACTGACAAGTTTTAAGTATTTAGTGTTTTTAATATATATTTTTAAAGTTTATAAATCTTAATTTTTATATAACGTCTGTATTTAACAGCTGGCTTATAAAATTCTTGGAAATTTAACAAACAGCTCTTACAGGTCAGGACAAACCTGCTCCAGCCAGCACCAAATTATTTCCAAGTCAGAAAATAAGTATGGACACACACATTATATAGTTCAATCTTTAGAAACAATGCTGATATGTGGAATTTGAGAAACGTAACAGAAGACCATGGGGGAAGGGAAGGGGAAAAAATAGTTTCAAACAAAGGAGGCAAACCATAAGAGACTCTTAAATACACAGAACAAACTGAGGGTTGACAGGGGCAGGGGAGTGGGGGGGGAGGGGGAGAAGGGGAGAGGGAGAAACTGGGAGGTGGGCATTGAGGAGTGCACCTGTTGGGATGAGCACTGGGTGTTTTACGTAAGCGATGAATCACGGGAATCTATTCAGGAAGCAAGAGCACACTGCATATACTATATGTTAGCTAACTTGACAATAAATTATTAAAAAAAAAAAAGAAAGAATGTGGAGATATAAATTTAAAAAAAATTTTTAAATCCAATATATGGATATCACACCCCCAATTATGATTCTATTTCTTTGGAGACGATCAAAAATCATCCTCATGCAGAAGAACTACATATCTACAGGAGGTTAGATTTATTACTATATTCATGAACAAAAAGGTGAACACATTTTATTCCCTTTTTATTTGATAAAGCAACAACAAAGTCATGCTCCTTTTCTTTCCTTCCTTGGTAATTCCAAATACATTCTAAATTCATACTCCTATTTAAAGAGACGCTCAAAGCTGAGCATTTAATACTACATGTGATTGTGATAGTGGGGTACATACTAACAGTAAAAGTGTATCTATTATTTTTTTAAGTCTATTTATTTATTTTGAGAGAGAGAGAGAGACAGTAAGTGTTCTAGTGGAGGAGGAACAAAGAAAGAGAGAGAGAAAGAATACCAAGCAGGCTCCACACTGTCAGTCCAGAGCCAGATGTAGGGCTTGATCTCACAAACCTTGAGATCATGACCTGAACCGAAATTGAGTCAGATGCTTAACTATCTGAACCACCCAGGCACCCCAAAGTGCATTTATTTTATAGTAAGTGATTGTCTTGATCCACTATGTGCTAGAATGCACCTGAAAAGCAGAATTCGCCTTGTAACATGAAGAGAAATACAAAACCAAAACAAGGAGGCTAGAACTGACCTGGAGAGTTAATATATTCTACGACCAAAAAAGTGCAAGCTCAGTACTAGTTTCTTAAACCCCTTCAGTGGGGGTCAACTTGGAGATAAATTAACATAGAAGTACCTAATAAAGGTTTTATTGTTGGTGTTTCATTTCTAAAGAGTATACAGCAAAGCCCTGAGAAGCATGGTATGTTTCATTCATATTATGCCAATGATTCTCAACCTTCTCTGCATCTTAGAACTAACTAGGGAGATTTTTTAAAAAATACCCCACAGACAAGAAAGGCTTGGGAAACTGGTGGAATAAGAGGACTCTAGGATCATCCTGTCCCACATTTACAACTAGATATCACTCACATCCTAGTAAATAAACTGGAGACTGATCTGAAGACTGGCAGAACAAACTCCACAACTACATGTAGAAAAGCCACATTGGAGAGGTTAAGAAAGGCAGAAACGGGTCTGGAGCTGCCCACAGGAGGGAGGGAGCTGCTGCTACAGAGAGGGGAAAAACGCCAGGGAGCCCGTAAGGGGAAAATGAATTCCTGTAACATCTTGCCTTGAAAACCAGAGGGGCTTAATTCTGTGAGTTTGGACAGCCAGCAGGACTTGGAAGGCTAGAGCTTTAAAAGTCAGCTGGGCAAGCTGGAAGGGAGTGTGTTGGGGGAACTTCTCTAGGAACAAAAGAGCTACCCGGTGCCATTTCCCTCCTCTGCCACCAGCATAAACAGAGCCACCTCCAGGAAGGGATGCTGCATGGATACTTGCTACCTAACCTGCTAGCAGTATGTCTCCACAAGTTCTCCAGAGACTCGTCCATTCCAAGCCTGATGGCCTTGATCCTGCACTAAGCACAATTTTTACTAATGCTGTGGCCCTGCCCCCTGAGCCCTTCTGTGGCCAGGTCCCCCAGAGCCAGCCTGCCTAGGTCTTACTAACATCACAGACAGCAAGCACAGCCCTCAACAGGCAGAGAGTCAGCGCAAATATCTGAACTGAAAGGAAAAGTGACTCAGAGACACTTAAATGCCAGGTTCTGGTGAACAAGGGACACTGCACTCCAGGGCACCTCAGAACCTCTTCATAAAGCCCCTACTCTCAAGAGCAGAAGAGGTAGCTCATTTTCTAACAAAGAGAAACAGACATAGAGAGGTAGACAAAGTGAGGAGAAAGAGAAATACGTCCCAAATGAAAGAACAGGACAAAATTACAGCAGGAGATCTAAGCGAAACAGAAATGAGTAATATACCTGATGCGGAATTTAAAGTCATGATCATAAAGATACTCACTGGACTTTAAAAAAGGATAGAGGACATCAGAGACCCTTGACAAAGAAATAAAAACTAACACATCAGAGATGAAGAACTCAATAAGTGAAAATAAAAATATACTAGATGGAATAAGCAGGCTACAAGACGCAGAGAAATATTATCAGTGACCTGGATAACAGAGTAATGGAAAGCAATCAAGGTGAACAGGTGAGAGACAAACAACACTGAATAATGACAACAGACTTAGACAACTCAGTGACTCCATCAAGCGTACTAATATTTGCATTATACAGATCCCAGAAGGGAAGGGAGAGAAAGGGAGGCAGAAAATGTATTTGAAGAAGTGACAGCTGAAAACTTCCTGAATATGGGGAGGGAAACAAATATCCATATTCAGGAGGCACAGAGCTCGCCTGACAAATTCAACCAAAGGAGGTCCACACCAAGTGGATATAGTAATTAAAATAGCAAAAAATAGTGATAAAAATTTTTTAAGGTTGCAAAAGAAAAGAAGATAGCTACGTTATGTACAAAAAAAACCCCATAAGGCTATCAACTAATTTTTCAGCAGAAACTTTTCAGGCTAGGAGGAAATGGCATGATGTATTCAAAGTGCTCAAAGGGAAAAATCTGCAGCCAAGATCCTTTATCCAGCAAGGCTATCATTCGGAATAGAAGGAGAAATAAAGAGTTTCCCAAACAGACAAAAGTTAAAAGAATTCATGACCACTAAACCAGCCCTATAAGGAAACGTTATGGACTCTGAGCGAAAAACGAAACCCGTAAGTAAGAAAGAGTAAGAAAAACAGAAAGCACAAAAGAAAAAGGAAATTAAGCATATCTGTAAAAAATCAGTCAAGAGAAGCACAAGATAAAACAATGTAAAATATGATACGAAATATCTGAAACATGGAGGGTAGATGAGCAAAGAATGAGTTCGAAATTAAGAGACCATCAAGGGTGCCTGGGTGGCTCAGTCGGTTAAGCGTCTGACCTCAGCTCAGGTCATGATCTTGTGGTTTGTGGGTTTGAGCCCCGCGGCGGGCTCTGTGCTGACAGCTCAGAGCCTGGAGCCTGCTTCAGATTCTGTGTCTCCCTCTCCCTCTCTGTCCCTCCCCCGCTCACGTTCTGTCTCTCTCTGTCTCTCAAAAATAAATAAACATTTTTTAAAAAATAAAAAAAAAAATAGATTAAGACCTAAATGTGAGACCTGAAACCATAAAAATCCTAGAGGAGAGCATGATGTCTCTGACATAGGCTGTAGCAACACTGTTCTAGATATGTCTCTGGAGGCAAGGGAAATAAAAGAATAAACTACTGGGACTACATCAAAATAAAAAGCTTCTGCACAGCGAAGGAAATAATCAATGAAACTAAAAGGCAACCTACAGAATGGGAGAAGATATGTGCAAATGACATATCCGATAAAGGATTAGTATCCAAAATACATAAAAACTTACACAAATCAACACCCCAAAAACCAAATAATCCAATTAAAAAAATGGGCAGAAGACATGAACAGAGACTTCTCCAAAGATGTCCAGACAGCCACCAGACAGATGAACTGATGCTCAAAATCACTCATCATCAGGGAAGTACAAATCAAATCAAAACTACAATGACATACCACCTGACACATGTCAGAATGGCTAAAACCAAACACAAACACAAGAAACCAAAACACAAGAAACAAGTGTTGGTAAGGATGTGAAGAAAAAGAAACCCTCATGTGCAGCTGACAGGAATGCAAACTGGTGCAGCCACTGTGGAAAACAGTATGGAGGTTCCTCAAAAAGTTAAAAATAGAACTACCCTATGATTCAGTAATCGCACTACAGGGTGTTTACCCCCAAAATATGAGAATACTAATTCAAAGGGATACATGCACCCCTATGCTTATAGCAGCATTATTTGCAATAGCCAAATTATGGAAGCAGCACAAATGTCTAATGATAGATGAATGGATAAAGATGTGGTATATTGGGGCGCCTGGGTGGCTCAGTCGGTTGAGCATCCGACTTCGGCTCAGGTCACGATCTCGCAGTCCGTGAGTTCGAGCCCCGTATCGGGCTCTGGGCTGATGGCTCAGAGCCTGGAGCCTGCTTCTGATTCTGTGTCTCCCTCTCTCTCTGCCCCTCCCCCGTTCATGCTCTGTCTCTCTCTGTCTCAAAAATAAATAAATGTTAAAAAAAAAAAATTAAAAAAAAAAAAGATGTGGTATATATACATACAATGGATGCAATAAAAAAGAATGAAATTGAGATTTATAACAACATGAATAGATCTAGAAAGTATGATCCTAAGCAAAATAAATCAGCCACAGAAAGGCAACTACTACATGATTTCACTCAAATGTGTAATGTAAGAAACAAAACAAACGAGCAAAAGA